GATGTGCCCTTCTGCCTTCACCAGCAAACATAATACGAGCATGTCTTGTGTGAGTTAATTGTTCCAATGGTCACTGAATTTAGGTTCATGTCTTTGATTGGTCACTGAAATTTAAAATGTCAAATTTTGGTCACTGAATTTAGGTCAATGTCTTCGATTGCTCACTAAAATTTAAAATGTCGAGTTTTGGCCACTAAACTTTGAAAAATATTGTACATTACTCATTGAATTTTGAAAAATGTTGTGAGCAACAGTTTAATTAGTTCATTCTGAGTTTCATGAAGTTCCTCCTTTCTTTTAGGATCTGCACTAACATGAATCGTTTTAAATATAACGCTACCTAGAAATGTACATTTTAAAACCGTGGCATCCATGTCACTAATCATCGGGAAAAACGTTTATCTAACCGTTAAATGATCAAGTAATATTAATCTGATGTTAGATTATAAGCGTAAAGTTGTCCAAAAAGATTTCTTTTATTCCATAGCTTCAATCCAGTGTCAATGACCATTTAATGTTCAAATAAATATTTTTCGTTAACTAGGACACGAATGTCACGATTTTAAAAAGTTAGAGAATGTGTGCAACATATGGTAGGTCGAGGACATAGCTGACATACTCTTAAAAGGTTAGGGACCCTAGGTAAAATTTACAGTACAGTAAAACGTGCTCCTCGACAAATATATACACAGCTCGCTGTATCTATCCATCACCGTTTCCAATATTTGTCACTCTGTTCATAATTTTACTGTGAGTAGCTATGGCATCTGGATCTTCTCGGCCCATCCATCCCGGCTCGAAACCGTTTGCTATCCCGTCAGATGATGTTCTCCACTCCTACGAGGATTACGGTAATCCGGATGGGAATAATGGATACCTTCCCGACCATTCGATTGGAGCTAATTCCACTGAGGTATTTACTGTTTTCGAATTCTTTTAGTTTCATATTATTCTCTTTTAGGGTTTCTGAATTTCAGAGCTATTCTGGGAAATTGAGCGTTGATTTTTGGTTAATCTTAAATTTAGTCAACGCTAAAAAGCCGCTATTTTGGAGTTAGGATGAATTGAGATGGCAAACCAGCAAGTAACAGTAGATAATATAAGAGTGAAAGAATAATATTTTGTACACATGCCGTAGTATATGGCTTTAANGATGGCAAACCAGCAAGTAACAGTAGATAATATAAGAGTGAAAGAATAATATTTTGTACACATGCCGTAGTATATGGCTTTAAACTGCTGTTTTTTTGCAAGGTCATTTTTTTATGCGTGGGTATCTTATATCAGTAGTTTTGAAAGTTGAACATGAATCAGGAGTGCAATTCAATGACTTCACTGGTGAAAATGAATTTTCTGAAGTAAAATGAGGCACGCAGGGTACATAGCCAGAAATTTTCTTTTTCACTATCCACAGAATTTACAACTATGATCAGCATCAATCCAGTTTATCTTATGGTTGATGGAATTATATTAATGTTTGTCCTGCACCTTTGTCTTAGTTTCTCCTTTCATGAAATTTTCAGGTGTCTTATTTTGACGGAAAATGAATACCTCTACATCGAATGCTAAGCTTAAATAAATAAAAGTGTCCATATCTAATAGCTTAAGCTTTTAACTGAAGTTGTTTCCGCATGATATGAGAGACTGCAAGGGTACTAATTCAAGTCCCTTGTCGCTCATTATTAAATTTAAAATTGTGCACATGTTAGATCTTTGATAAATAAATAAAAAATTCAACTAGACTACACGTAAGAAGCCTGTTGAATACTGAATAAAAATGAACAAATGTGTTTACTTTCTAAGAGCTTAAAAGCTATGAGGTGTTCATTTATGGAAATTTCAAGCATCACCCTTTCATGAAATGAATATAGTCTGCGCGTGAGGCAACATGATATAAATATAAATACATAAATTCATCACTTTAACAGTAGTTGAACTTTGAGATGAGTAATCAGCAGTTTCCATTCTGATGGATGAATTTAATACATTGTTGCTGAATGCTTTTTCTGATTGATATGGCAAAGAAGCATTCAGACAGTACCCACGTTTATATACAGAAAATAAAAATAAAAAACAATAAACTGGTAGGAACTGAGAAGGCAACTGTAATAATTATAAAGAAAACAAAAGAAAAATGCTCTTTAAAAGAGCCGTGTTCAAAACACACACATAGATATACCTTTTAGTTTCAAATAGTATGCAGTTAGTAGATAGGGTGTTAAACTTAGAGCTGGAAAGTACTGACACATTGCCGGCACATATCAGACACCGGTACGTATCTGACACGTTGCTGACGCGTGTCGGAGGCCCTTGCAGCGTGTATTTTATGAAGAGAACTGAAGAAGGCTGCTAAAAACTGAAAGTTTTGTAAAAGAACTGTTCAAGTAACAACTCGTGAGTCAGTTTGAGGAAGAAGATTCAGTCAGCGACTGAGAAAGACCACCACAGTAAACCCTATTTTGTTGAAGGAAAAATGAAGAGACGGTTTCTGTGATGGATTGCAATGTAAAAAAAAAAAAAATTGAATTACTTTTTACCCTTAATTCAAAAATAAGAGAGAGCTATGAAAAGAGGCTTTAGGGACTTTAAGAAGTCTCCAGTTGTTTACATCACTTTAATTTTTTTGATATCTTGTAGTTTGCTGTTGTTGTCTGGGTGTTGATCAAGGCTATATTGAGCATCTTAATGGTTTATACTCTCAATTTAGCAGGAATTCCACAAAAGTAGAATGGCGAGATCAAATGTTTTTCCTGCTGTCTCTTTTGGTCCACCAGAAGATTCTTCTTTTAATCAAGATCTTATCTCTACTGTTGACAATACTGTGAAGAAGTATACAGACCACCTTATGCGTTTTCTTGAAGGAATTAGTTCTCGACTATCACAGTTGGAATTATATTGTTACAATCTTGACAAATCTATTGGTGAAATGCATTCTGAATTAGCTCGTGATCATAGGGAGTCAGAGTTGAAGCTAAAATATCTGGAAAAGCACGTCGAAGAGGTGAGTATATTTTTTGATTTAATGTATCGTGACTCTCAGTCGCTGAAGCTATAGAAAACTAGATGAACCATTATAGATCTCCTTTGCTCACTTCATGTCTGTGTGTGTCTTGGTGTCTTGTGTGTTATGTTTGTACATTTTTGCATCTTTGGTATTCAATTGGAAATACGACTGTATTTGAAGGGCTTCTAGATTGGATGCCAAAGGCATGGTCTTGTTTTTAGAGTGTGGATACATTGTTTTCCTATCTATCTGGATATGAAGTCCAGCCAACATTTTCAAGTGCTTGTGATGAACAAGTTTCTTATCTTATTTAATGCAGGTCCACAGGTCAATGCAGATCCTAAGAGATAAGCAGGAACTTGCTGAAACTCAGAAGGAACTAGCCAAACTGCAGCTTGTGCAGAAAGAATCCTCTTTTGCAACCAATTCTCAACAGAACGAGGAAGGAGTTTCTCTACCTGCTCCCGATGCCAAAAAGAGTGATAACTCATCACACAATCAAGGTCAGCCGTTGGCAGTTTCCCTACCCTGTCAAGTAGCTTCTCAACCTTCAGTACCTACTCAGCCGGTTGAGCACCAACAGACTATTGTGGCTCCCCCCCTATCGATGCCTTTGCAGAGTATGCCACAAGAACAGGCATATTACTTGCCTCCAATGACTTCATCACAGTTATCACAGGGTCAATATCTGCCAACACAATCTCAAATTCAAGATCACTCCAGAGTGGCAGCACAGTCGACCCAACCTCAATTAAACCAGCCACAACAGATTCAGTCATTACCTCTGTATCAGCAGCAGTGGCCACCTCAGCATGGTCAACCACCACCACCTCAATTGCCACCTGTGCCTCCACAGATTAGATCCTCATCTCCAGCTGTGCGCCCTTCCTACCTGTCTTCTCCCTCAGAAATGACTGCTCCTAATAGCATTCCCATGCAAGTGCCATTTTCAGGTCCATCTCAACCTGGGTCTCCTGGTTCTGATGGTATTACGCCTTATGGGCATGGTGGTGCTGGCAGACAAATTCAACCGCAGCCTCCAACACAGCATGTCAAGACGGCATACAGTGCACAATCTGGGGATGTGTATGTACCTAGTGCGACTCGTCCGACACTTCATATGGGAAACGCTTATACTATGTTTGACAGTGAAGGTAGAAGGACACATCATCCACCCCCACAACCTCACTTCCAACAAAATGCTTATCCTTTGAGTAGCATCCCCCTCCAGAACCCTCAGCACACGGCTAATTTGATGGTTCGTCCACCACAGTTTATGCGCAATCTTCCCTACACTGAGCTGATTGAGAAGTTGGTAGGCATGGGTTACAGAGGTGATCTCGTGGTTGGTGTAATTCGGCTACTGGAAGAGAGTGGTCAGCCTATTGACTTCAACGCTGTGCTTGACAGACTGAATGGACATTCTTCCGGAGGTTCTCAGAGAGGATGGTCCGGCTAAGAGTAATGAATAGTCCTGAATGCCTGTACGGTTCCTGTCTTACATTTATTGTGCATCGAATAAATGGTGATAAGATATACATGTTTTTAATACATGGGGATGATGAGATGCTTCTTATACTTTTGTAAATCTCTAATCTAACACAACTGCTTTCTGTATTTTGCAAATGAATGACAGGTGAATTCAAATGTTTTCCTTTCACGTTGTCAAATTTTGGTATACTCTCTCTCTCTCCCCCCTCTCTCTGTGTATGTGTGGAGAACTTGGAGCGTAGAAAAGCTAGTGTTAGTTTGGGAGAGATTATTTGAGGTAAACTGATTTTTCTTTTTTATTTTTTATTTTTTTAGAATGTAGGATTAAGTAGGGAAAAGTTGTGGATCCAGGTGCAAAATTATATTATTGGGAGAACGTGTAATTGAAAATGAGTTTGAGGAAAATGATTTTCGAGTTAACTATGTCAAACAAACACATAGTATAATAAACATCCTTCAAAGTTTGCAGTATAAGAGTGGCGTATTTGGTTACTAAATTGAAACATTTATGACAATCGAGTCATTGAAATTTAGTTGATAAAATTGTTGTCAATACACACATTACAAAAGACCTAGCAAACCAATATTGATGTAATACTAATGAATTGAAATGACTTTAACGTTAGTTTAATCAAAGTTGCTAATACTTCCACAGAACTCCTATGCTTTTAACCAAAAAAGTAACCATAAATTCAAAATAGTTCTCTAAACAACGTGAGATTTTGCTGGGCCTCTTGTTCCTGCCAGAATCTGAGAAATGTGCAAACCTCTGCTAAATGCTTCATTGAATAGAATCCTTGTCTGCATATGTTGAGTCCATGGCAACCAAGACAGGACTGCAACTGGGCTCATCACTATTACTCCAAACATAATTTCATAGACTCTTGCAAAAGAAACAACACTATCCCATATCCCTGATTTCTCCAGAAAGGGCCTCAGTACGAGGGCAATTGAAATAAGTCCCCATCCAGTGGGAATGAAAACCAACAGACTCTTTAAGAGATCAAGAAATTTGAAATTGGTGAGCATCCTTAGGGCAATGATCCCAAATATCGTAAGAACAAAGAATACAGTCTGAATAAAACGGTAGAAAAAGTGAGCCTTGATGCTGTACTTGTTGCTGGTACGTGTTAATATTGCATAAACTCCAAGAAGGACTAGTATGAAGATCCAGGAACGCAAGTAGACCGCAATGCTGTTGCTTCCAGCTGCAATGCTAAGCTTATACACCATTGCGTATTGGAAAAAAAAGAATCGAAGGTTTAGAATTATTTCAGTTACCTTCCCCCAAATACTAGTGGTCCTCAAATGATCTTGCTCTTCATACCACCATTTTTCCCAGCTCTGTTCAGCATTTGCCAATATGCTAGCACGGTACCATATCCAGTTTATAAATTCGTGGAAATCATTTACTGTTTTAAGCCACTCAAAACTGAGAGGATTGAAGATGAAGGGGCTCAAAATCCAGGACGCTACTAGAAACCAACTGGCTAGAGTTAATGCTAGGTACACAAAACCACTCCCCACCACTGGGCTGTACAGAGAGTATACTGCCAGTAATAGTCCAAGCTCAATTGCCTTCACAAAATGGCTGCGAGCATATAGTCTGTAACTCTCAGTAAAACTCTTGTGCTGTACAACGAAGCCACGCCCAGTTTCTCTGTATTTGGCCCCACCATGAAGAAGGGTTCGACCAAAGTAATGGGAACGAGTTCCCAGGGAGAATGTGTAGAATAAAGATGAAAGTTGGAGCTGTGTTACAATGAATTCCCAGATAGACGTGAGGAAACCATGCTCAACTGTACTTTCAACAATCATTGGCAAGACATTGAAAAGGCCTAGTTCTATGACAAATCCTTGGTTCAAGATTGACAGAAGTGCTGCACTCTGATCCGCCTTACCTGATTTCATTGAACTCTCAAACCCACAGAGGGCCAGATAGAATTGCCCCCACCAAAAGGTGTACAAAGCAAAAACAACCACACATGCATTGAAGAAGAATCCTACTGAAGTGTAGAAGAAAGAAAGCATCCTGAAGAAATCCAGCCTATTACCTAACCTGTAGATAAGAGACATAAAAAGGGATAAACAATCATCAGTGCATTGGAAGAATTTTATAGAAGTGTGGAAAAGGGAAACCATCCTTAAAAAGTCCAGCCTACTATCCAACCTGTAGACATCTCGGCTGAGGAGTTGCTCTCCACTCCCACTTGCAATCTTGGCCTCAAACATAGAGATCTGATTAAAGCCAACATCCCTACCCTTGCCAAATTGAATGTACTCGTGGTGAGTGATATTTCCGCGCCGCAGTGTGCAATTGAATCCAGCAAAGATATCCTCATTTATGTTAAGCACTCTAGAACCCTTGCTTATTCCACCCCGAGTTAGAAACCAAAACCTGTCAAACACATCTGGATGACCATAATGCATTCGGATTTTCAAAGGGTTAGCCATAATACGCTGACCCAAGGTCACAAAACTTGTCTCCTGGGAACACATGAACTGAGCAGGCGATGAGACTGGACCTGTAAATATGTGCTCCCGGAGACCCAATATAGTCGGTTTCTTGATGCCATGGCTGTGCTTGAATTCCTCCAAAAGGTTTCGCATCTTCAGCGCCTCCTCAAAATAGTTGTCTTGGTTCATATCAATGGTCTGAATTGCATCTCCTCGAGTGAAGATGATGGCATGGTTTTGATTTTCTGGTTTCCCCTCTCCAAGCTTCAGGGGATCACCCGGTAATTTGATCCGATAGATTTCCACTTCTCTTTGCAGCCTTTTATCATATTTCACCAGGACGGAGTAATACTCTTTCTCAGTCTTCTCTTTGGACACCTCATCAATGTAAGCAACACGAAGAGTTTCATTGCCTTTCAACAGATTCAAGATGTCCTCAGCATGCCGATCCTTTTCAGCCTTCTGAGTGCCATACAACTGACAAGCAACTACATAAGTGAATTTCATGGGTATGCAAATTTCATGGACTGAAGTTTTTGGAGGGGATGACATTATTGAACGCAATCCATCTCTACTATCATTGAGTTTCATGAAATGAAGTCTCTGATATCCTTCCATGATGTCTATCTCGTGTGTTGAATCCAGAAAAGCCAGCATGTTAAGAGCCCGATTGTAGTACATCATTCCCCTAGTCGTGCGGGCCAGTGTCTGTCCTCTGTAAGATGCCCATAGCCGAAGATCTCTCAACCTAGTTGTCCACAATTCTCTTTCACTTACCATCCCTTCCCGGCGCATTCTCTCTAAGAAGTTTCTCCACTCATCAGCATGGATAGTCTGCAAGTAGTAGAGGATGGAAATCCCATCGTCGTTTTCAATCCGGAGTTGTTCCATGCTGTATAGCACTTCTTCCTTGTAATAAGGAGTTAAAACACTGAAGGCCGCCATTTTCTCAATCAGGGAAGCGCGGGGAATATTCATAAACATGGAATTGCTGAAGAAAGAGATTCGTCGTCTTGCTTCATGACTTTCAGGAATTTTGAGCATTGAGTCCTCAGATGTGAGAATTGTATGTAAACGTCGAAGACAGCGATAGAAACCCTCATTATCTGGACTAGGCAACTCAACAGCCTTCTCGAAAAGAAATCTTTCACCCAAAATTGTTGTTCGAGGAAAAAGACCATCCTCCCTCAGCTGATAAATATCTCTATATTCTTTCGAAAAATCTCGAATGGCAGCCTCGTAAAGGGCCTGCAGAGCATTCACTACCTCGTTAAGGTCTTCAACTGGAAGCTTGAGTACTAGATTGAGTAGATGGATTAACTTTTCATGGATCTTTTCAAGTCCAACCATCTTGTAGCATTTCGTGAATTTCTCCAATTGAATTCTGAAATCAATTTCTTTAAAGAATGTTTCGACAATGGAATGCTCCTCACTGTCATTCTTGACGATGGTCAGCAAGAATTCCCTCACACTGTCATATGCTTCAATAACTGCACAACGCCTATGTTCATTCTTGCTGATCTTATACCAAAGCCTTTCATCAGGAGCATCAGAAAGTTTTTTTGCCCATCTGAGAGCGAGCAGCACCTCATTGCAGAGGAACACACATGGCCATTGGATCACCCTGATTTTCCAGTGTCTTATAGGCATTTCTAACAACTCGATCTCATGATCACTGATAATGTCCTCCTCTCTGAATGTCATAATTATTTCATTCCATATCATAGCAAATTTGTAGGCCTCGACCTGGTTAGGTTCAAGTTTTCTAAAGGGCCTGCCAAACCCATACCTTAGTTTCAATTGGTGAATGGCTTCCCTGAACTTGCTTCCATATGTTCCTCTCGCATTTAACAGCTTTTCCTCAGGCAACAAGTTGAAACAAATTGCACTAGCAAAGTACTGAAACCAAAACCTCAAATGATGCATGTTCCGAATCTCACCCAGACGATTAAACAAACCAATAGTAGTACCAAGAAATGTAGAGTAAATTGAAAACCAAATTTGCAGATCCATCAGGTATATCAAAACAACTGGGAGCCAGAGCAACCCCAGCGCAAATCGGTTGCTGTGTTTAAAGAACTCAAGCCACTCATAATTAATGTTCTTGGTATGCAACAATGTTTTTGTAGATCCAATCATGGGCTTGATTTGCAAGAAATAACTATAGGAAAACTTTGTCCCCAGCACAATTATCCAGAAGATTATATACTTTATACTGTCCGTGAATTCTTCCCTAAGCCCCCGACCAACAAAAGTTCTGCCCTGAAACCACCAGGATAGCAAACGAAAGATCCTCCAATTTGTATTCTCCAAATAATTCCCAACACAAGGTAGAATGAACAAAACCAGAGCCAAAAGTTCTGGGGCCATAAAAACCAAAGCAACCCTACAAAAATTCACCACTCTGAGATTCACTTCAGGCGACCACCTCCCATCACTACTTCTTTGATCCCAAATCCTCCCATAGAACATCATAAAAACCCAAACCCACCCAGCAGAAACTACAACTTTCAAAACCATCCTCATACCTAACCATTTCATCTCCCTCGAAACCAAACTATAGTGCATTGCTGCATAGAGTAATGAATGCAAGAACCTCATTGCGCTCCATGTGAAGAACACAGTCAAGCATCGTGCCTGGACCTCCGTACTCTTTAACGCTTCCCATGGATTGCCCTTCTCCTCCCACGCTACAATTACTGCTGCTTGAATGAATAAAATTAACATAGCCCACAACTTGTGGAAGCTCTGAAAAATGTTCCAAAACGATCTCTGTTCCACAAACCCTGTTTTCTCCACCTTTTCCTTATTGCTTGTCATGAAAAAAGTACTCGAAACATCAATTGGCCACTTTAGCTCCTTAAAGCACCTCCTACTCCAAAAGTACTCATTTATATCATCGTAATTTCGCCACACTGAGTGCGGTGCAGTCCCATTTCTACTGTTCTCGACTTCTACTTTCATTATATAATAAATAGGCTTAACTATTTGGTTCAAAAATGCATTTTCTCTAGATAACGAAGTCAAAAATGGCCTCCCCGTGTTATCATCGATATAATCTTCCAAGATTTTATTCAATTCCATTGCCATATGGTGAAAAATATAACAAATGCATTCGGGAACTAAACGTAAATTAGCAGACTCACCCCATATCAACAAATATAAAGACACGTACAGAAGCTCATGCTGGACGTTAGGCTTGAGAGCCAAGGTTGAGCAGGAATCTGAGAGCAGGAGGTTTGGTCTGATGCCGAGGTAGGAGCACCAGTCGGAGTAGTTTTTCAGGAGTTGGCACCGGAAGTTTCGAACAATGGAAGGATCAAGAGAGTCCAAGTTGTCAGGGGTAGGGAAGAGGCGCATCTGTGCGTTGGAGAGATGCAGGACGAGGTGCTCTCTTTGGTTCTTGACATTGGAGGACTGAAAACCGAAGTGGAGGCCTAGCCAGTCGAGGAGATCGTAGTCTGGATTCCAGGACAAGAATTGTGGCGGACGGCGGAGGCCACCAATTGCGTGTAGGGCGGCAATGGCAAGCCGGACCTCGGGAAACCGGCGGCAGGGATGATCAGCTGATAAGTTGTCTAGTGGGATAATATTGTAAACCTCTTCGGATACTGCAGTATCATCATCTTGGCGATTCATCATCAAGTTCAATTCTTTGTGCTGATCGTGCTTTGGCTTAAAAATATTTGCATGCTAGAATAGTTTGGATGACTTTAGAGACGACTTTGCATTGAGAGTGACAAGGATAAAATTTTAAATTGATGGTTGGTTGGCCATCAAATTCACAAAAACTTCTTGCGTACTTTTTACATGATTTTATTTGTCAAATTGTGCTGTCAATAATTTTGGCGTTAGTAAAGAGTATAAATTGTAGAATATTTTTCTTGTGTTCATTCATTGTAACTTCGTATAAAAATGGCTTTGTTCTGAAATATGTTGACAAGATCCTTAGCAAATGTGGGAATCAAATGCTTCGAGCTGTGCGGCTGCACAAACCTCTTCTATTAAGCACCTCTTTTTTTTCCTCACTCTTTGGCTTCCAACTGTATACACTTATTCGGGCTTTAAGATATGGACATTTTGTAGTTCTTTTAATGAAATTATAGCCTCATTTATTATATGGTGTGTTATTAGGTGAAACTCAATGCATGAAAGTGAAATTGAAAGAAAGAAACGAAAAATCGACAAAAGGGATAAAATCCAAAGTTTCGGGACTAAAGTGTAATTAAAAGTTGTGTCGGACCTCATAATGAAGATTTGAGAATGCTAGGGGTCAATTGGGTGCAACTAGAGGTCAAAAGGAATGGAACATGATCAAAATATAGACACAAATCAATTTTCAACCGTACAAGTACGTTCCATATTTTTAGCTTAAGATTGAAACTCATTTTTGACTTAGTAAACATTTGAATCGGAGAAAGGCTATTCAAGTAAAGTTGTAGCTCTTTCATTTATCTTTACAATCCAATTTGAATCGCTTCAATCGAATATCGAAAGATTTTGGCTGTCATTGAAGTGATTTTTGTCACACCCTTTGAAGAAAGGCATCTAAGGGTGCCCTTAAATTCTTGTCCGATTCCAAGAACCCAAAGATTTTGGAAGCTCAATAGATCCAAATCAACCAAACCCATTTGATGGCTAAATCACCTTCAAGCAGATCGCAAGGAGGAAATGTTATATATTTGTTCATCATTAATAAAACCGGAGTGTGGAATGAAAGAAGAAATGGAAAGCCAAAATATTGGCCATGCGGTCGCATAGCAGTTGTGCCATGCGACCGCATAGTTTCATATGGTAACTAAATTTTGAGGCCTCACTGATAATTCTAGGACTTTGGCTGTCATTGAAGTGATTTTTGTCACACCCTTTGAAGAAAGGCATCTAAGGGTGCCCTTAAATTCTTGTCCGATTCCAAGAACCCAAAGATTTTGGAAGCTCAATAGATCCAAATCAACCAAACCCATTTGATGGCTAAATCACCTTCAAGCAGATCGCAAGGAGGAAATGTTATATATTTGTTCATCATTAATAAAACCGGAGTGTGGAATGAAAGAAGAAATGGAAAGCCAAAATATTGGCCATGCGGTCGCATAGCAGTTGTGCCATGCGACCGCATAGCACATTACAGAAATTCTGGGCGAATTTTGGTGTAAACCATGCGACCGCATGGGATTACACCATGCGGTCGCATGGTAGAACGGATATAACCGTTGGAGGCTGTTTTCATGGTAGTTTTTTTTGGCGCCTTTTCACTTAGTTTGGCACCATTTAGTGATATGATGTTCCATGCCTATATATATGTGTTTGATGGGCATAGAAATCATAGAAAAAACACATGAGAAATATATTTCTTCATTCCACAAAGGATCAAACATCCTTTCTTTCATATTCATTTCTTTCCCATGTGTTCTTCAAGTTCGGGTGGAGAAATACTTGTGCTTTTGTATTTCTCTACATCAAGGCTTGATCAATCCTTCAAACCATTTGCCGGATAACCCTTTAAGCACCAAATTAATACCGAGAGGGGGCAAATATCGTTTGAGGACAGCGATTACGCGTTCGAGCCCTCTTGTTTGTTGTGTTATTCATATTCTTGTTTCATCTTCTTCAAATTACTGATTTCTGGTTTCTTCTCCAACCTCGGTGATGCAATTATTCCCAACAATCTCAAACGATACTTTTGGTAATGGAGAACGAAGTCACTTTGACGATGATCAAGTCGATGGATCAACAAGATCTGGTTTGGATCAAGTCAAGAGACGAACTTCATGGGATGTCAAGCACAAAAAATTGAAGTCTCTTCTAAAGGCGTTGATGACCGAAAGGATAGAATTCGTCGTTATGTGTCCGAATTCGATAACTCTTATTTGTCTTCTCAAATTCCATATAGGAAATGAAGTTTCTGCCGATGCAACGGATATTGAAGTTTATATCGCCATCGAAGAAGGATATGGAATTGGGATTGTTCTGCAAATTTAGAGCAAGTCTGAATCTTGATAGATTCGCAATGGAATTGGTACGGAATTTTTTATCTGGCATGATTTTATCTGTCTTCATCTATGAACCGGCGTGATGTTAATTTTGATTTTTGTAACTGCAATTACTGCATTTTAAATGCCAGAATTAGTGCCAATAATTGTGTCAGTTCAATATTATATGATGAACCAGCCATGAAAACCATGTTTTGTTCCTTGAAGCATATTCAGTTTATGATAAACGGCATATTTTTTATTCACGAATATCCGTATTATCTTTATGCTCTTAATAAAAAATTGAGAATGGCATGTATGCTTCCTGATATGTGCAATCAATTAAGAAATATGTTTTACTAGCACAAAATCCTATGCGTGATGGTTTAATTTTGTGCAAGTGTATGTGATTTAAAGAGAAAACAATTTGGCTGGTGACTGATGATGGAAAAGAACATATAATTGAGTGCATATATATTTGTTGTGATGTGAAACTAGTGGATTAATACATGACTTTGATCCTACTTTGAACATTCTGAGAATTCCATGACATTGGAATTACTTGATACCAGTTTTGGCTATTGTTTAACTCAATTATGGTAGTGGCAATCTTTGTTGTGATAATAAGATTGCAAATATAAATGGAATAAATCTATACAATAAATGTTTGGAATATAAGTTGCTATTCCTTAATCTTTTATCTTCTATGTTCTCATGAATTTTCGGAATGCATCCCTATTGGTTGTATTCTCCCAATCCAAAATTCACAAAGCCACTTCTTTGATAGCCATGGAACTCAATTGAGTGGTTCACAGTAAGGCTTCTTTGGGGCTATTGAGAACATATTCATGGCTAATCAGTGGTGAGAGGCGGTGGAGGAAGTTGTCCAACCGTCGGCTTATTATAATAGGGAGTATGCGAAATGGGTGTGATATATTTAATATCACGATTAACAGATTCATGAAGATGGGATAACAATACGTGGTCATAAAAATTGCATAAACTTGTTGGTCAAAATGGCCTAGTTGGTATGTGCAAGTGCTTATTTGATCTTGACAAATGTACGTGCATGAAGGAAAATGTGTGTTCCTTACTTGAGAATATTTAAGTATATTAATCACTTGCTTACTTAATGATGCATATTTTGACGTTCACCCATGTGGTTAAATGGTTGAAATTTTAATGTGCATACTATATAATTGCAATAATATTCATGATATTTGCATATAAAAGAGACAAAATATGATTTTTGTCCAAATGTGAATAAGGTGAACATATGCCTTATTATTGGATATAATATAACCTTGTAGAAGTGACAAAGTGCATTTCCTGTTAAAACAAGAAGCATAATCTTATTCGAGGAACCAATTGAATTTGATTTATGCTTAGAAAGCATTGATGGTCTATGAGATGACCTTGATCAAATTGTGTGATCAAAATTAAAGATAGTTGGATTGAAGTATGTTATGACTTAATAACCACTATCTGAAAGTACCTAAACTTCCACGAGTATTATCAAAGTGATAAGTGAATGAATTATGAAAGAGTTGATAAACTCTAAGTTCAAATTTAAACCCAAATATGGGGGTTAACATATTTTTGAACTCTAAGTTCAATTACAATCCCAAATGTGGGGGTTGACATATTAAGGAACTCTAAGTTCGAGAATAACCCGAAATGTGGGGGTTAACATTAATTTTATGAACTTATACGAGAAGTTCAAAAATATATGGATGCAACATTACGAGGTTGCATAAGAATTCCTAATTAAGGAATTGTGGGGGTAACTTAATATAAAAAGTTATCATATCCTTTACCTTTAATCGTAGAAATATATCTATGATGGAAAAAGGTAGAAAAAGACCATACATCTATGATGGAAAAAGGTAGAGAAGACCATATAAGGATGAGACACACTAAGTCTAAAGTGGATAAAAAGGGTAAAGGCCGATTGTGCCACTTGCAAAACAAATGGAACATTTAAAGAATATCCATTAAAGATCATTGAAATGATTCAATGATGACAAGTGAATACCCAAGTATGAAAATCCACAAATAAAAGTGATTGACTAGTGTAATGAATTAACGGAAGTCATCCAAACAGAATTTTAAAAAATTCAATAAGGCTTTAAATAAAGCGAGTGAAAAGTATGTGGCTTCTTAGTGGTGACAAGTTGTATCTATCAAATGAATCGATCGTTGGCTAGCTATATTTTGATAAGATACTAAGTCACATAAAATGAGAAGTAAAGACATATAAGTTTTAGAGGTGACGTCTCAAGGAAATTATTAAAAGTGGAATAATTTTCGAAGAGAATTTAGCGGATCTTTTAACTAGACCACTAAATAAAATTTTAGTGGCATCTACTTCGAGTAGGATGGGGTTGAAACTCCTAATCTATAAAGGTCCACCAATGACGGCAACCCTACCTGTCATTACTCAAAAGGTAATCCACGGGTTCAAAGGGTACTAACAAGTCATTCGATATGTGGATAGTTGCAGCATTATTCAAATCCGCGATAACTCTATCCTAAGTAAAATTATGCTGGTTGTTACTGAAATGAGGGTTGAGCATTAAAAGCTCTTAATGAAGTTCAGTTTAAAATACAAGTACCTCGAAAAGTAACAAAGGTACTGGAAGAACTTCACCTAAACAAACTTCGAGGTGGTGCCGCCTCAAGTGAGAGTTGGAA